AGGTGAGCAATGGTGGCCTCCTGAATCCCTGTGCTTTTAGTAGCCTCATAAATGTCATTTTTAATGGTGCACAGTCAGTGGTTTTTAGTATAGTTACAAGGATATACAACCATTTTAAAACTCCAGAACCTTTTCATTATCTCCCCCAAAGGAAACTGTTTCCGTTATCAGTCAGTTTCCACTCTTCCCTCCCACTACCTACCATGAAATCTATTTTCTGTCATAAATTTGTCAGTTTTGGACATTTTGCATGCATGAACTCATATAATTGTTTTCTGTGACAGCCTTCTTTCACTGAGCATGATGTTTTCAAGGTTAATCCTTGTGAGAGTATGTATCGGTACCTCATCCTTTTATATGGTTGAATAATATTCCACTGTGACACACATTTTGTTCATTCATTCATCAATGAATGGACATCTACATTGCTTCCACTTTGGGAAAATAAAAAATACTGCTATAAAATATCATGCACCAGTTTTTGAGTGAATATGTTTTCAATTTTCTTGGGTATATATACGTAGGGGTAGAACTCCTGGGTCATTTGGTAACTCTTTCATTTTCCGAGAAGCTTCCAAAACTGTTCTCCAAAAATGCTGCACCATTTTACATTCCCACCAGCAACAAATTAAGGCTTCAATTTCACCAGGTGCTCTCCAACACTTATTTTCAATTTTTTAAAAGTTATCCTAGTGATTGCAAAGTATTGTCTCCTTATGAGTTTGACTTGCATTTCCCTAATAATTTTGAGCATCTCTTTATTTAAATATTGGCTATTGATACATATTGCTGGAGATGTGTCTATTCAAATCCTTTGCCCATTTAAAATTTTAAAATTGTTTATTGTTGGGTTTTAAAATTTTATTACATGTTTTGGATACTAAGTCCTTATCGGATAAATTATTTGTAAAAATTTTCACCCATTCTGTGAACTGTACCTTTCTTGAAGTTTTAAATTTTGATGTCCAATTTATCTAGTTTTTATTTGGTTGCTGTGCTTAGAATCTCATACTTAAGAAACCGTTGCCTCATCAAGGTCATGAAGCTTACTCATAAATATAATCCTAAAACCAGCTTTCACTTTCTCTTCTCATACAAGGGAGAGATGTATAATCCCAAATTCCCTTTGCAGTTTTAAAAGAGCCTGAACCTCGACTTGGCATTGGAAAAAAAGGCTCATTTTCACTGAGGCATAGGAGCATCATAATAATATATTTAAAGAATTCACAAATTTTCTCCCAAATTAATTTATGAAAAGTGCTTATTACAGAGTAGTAAATAAATTATGGCTACTTATAATTATTATCTTAATCATTATAATTACTGCAAGATATTTTATACATGTGCTCTGGATAAAATAATAGAAAATAATAAAAGTTCAGAGCTCACAATTAAGAGAGAGGCATTCAAAGAGATATATTAGCATAGGTGACAGCTAAAAATTGAGATGGCCTCCTTACATCTGCTGGGATTGGAAACCTGAAGGACAGCACTTGTACCTCTAGCTGAGAAAAACATCTCCTAAAATTTGATGACAGGGAAAAAAACTTTGGTTTCATAAACCTGTTTCAAAATCCTTAATCATTTTAACGTCCACCCAAGATGTTATAAAACAGTTCACCTACTGTTGGGCTGATGTATCTGATGAATCTTGACTTTTCAGTTCACACGCTCTTTCCACAGAACATAAAAATGAGAATTACAGAGCCACTTGCTTCTCAAAGCCCACTCTTATTCCACCACAATCCATGGGCCGGCCTCAGGGAGAATTTTAGGACTATCCCTTACGACTGGACAAGCAGCGCACTGCTCAAGCACAAGGCCACGCGATTTGACTCAAAGTCACCCTACATCCAAAGAGTTATGATTTCCCAGCAGGTTAGGCAGACAAGTGGGCTTTCCAGGTGGTTCAGTGGTAAAGAATCTGCCTGCCAATGCAGGAGATGCAAGAGACACAGGTTTGATACCTAGATCAGGAAATGGCAACCCACTCCAGTATTCTTGCCTGGGAAAATAGGTTGCCGTTTTCCCTGCAGTAGGAATTGGTGACCCACTCCAGTATTGCTTCCTGGGAAATCCCAAGGACAGGGGAGCCTGGTGAGGGCCCATGGGGTCCATGAGTTGGGCAGAACTGAGCACAGCACAGCAGAACACAAACAAGCATTTTGGAGGACGCCTGTTTTTCTAACTTGTGTACGTTCACTGAAGGGGTAAGCAATGTGGCAGTGGATGGGATTCCCAAACCTTCACTGCATTTGCAGGCAGCGCACTCATACCCTTGGCTTATCCTTAGGTCTTCAAGTTCTTGAGAAGCAATGCGGGCTTCCTGTATGTTATTTTGGTAGCTGTCTGCTCTGCAGTATTCCCTTGTGCTAGTAATAATACCCATAACTTTAAGATGTATACCAACGGCCTACAGAACCCCTTTGTGTCTGAATTAAAAGTAATGACGGCAGTGGCCATGGCAAATAAGGATTTAAAACACACTGATCCCCCAAGAGAAAAATATCACAATTCGTAGAAGAAATTAAAGTGACGTTAAACATAGGAAAAGCTCAGTTTTACTAGTAACAAATTTAAAAATTAAAATAGTACAGCATATTTTTCACTTATGAGACTAACCAAAATAAGGGTGCTGACAAATGCAGGAAGAAATGGCATTTATATGCTGTTGATGGAAGTGGATAGGGACCACTTTTTCGGCAACAGTGAGAACATCGAATGTACATTCCCTTTGATTCAGACATTCCACTTCTAGGAAATTATTTGAGTTGAAATATGTTAAGTAGGCAAAACTTTCTGTGTACAAGAATGATTACAGCGGTACTACTGGCGATGCTGCACTGTTAGAGATAATCTTTATATCCTATTGGTTGAATTAAATTCAAAATAGAATGCACAGTATGATTCCTTCTTTTAAAATTATATGCACATATGTACACGTGCATGCAAGTGCTTATATATGCACATATACACACAGTAAAACAGAGAAAATGATGGACAGTGATTATCTCTGGGGGATACGAAGGGGAAAAAGGAGGAGTTTGACTTTATATATCTTTGTAATTTTTTTTTTTAAAAAGATCACCAGCAGCACTTTAGAAATTAAATGTAAACTTATGAAGTTTATACTTCACTTCGGAACTGGAAGCTAGCCAGAAATGTACTTCAACTGTACATTAACTGCATGATGAAAATATTTTTGTCAAGTGGTCATAGGATACCAGCTATTTTCCTTTGGGATAAAAGTTCTTGGCATATCCAACACTCATCAGTCAAGGTACATTTCATAATAACAAACTATACATGAGATTATCCTCTATATAATACGGTTCCTATCTGCAGATTAATGCCAAACTTGGGACAATGACACAGGTGTAAATTCTGAGTCCTGAAATTATACCTCGGAGGAGGGAGCTTGTTTTAGTTGATTAGCGAAAAGCATGGAAGGCCCTAGGAACAACAGCCTTTGTGCAAGAGCCCCAGAGCAGCACAGGCAATAACTATTCTCCAGTTTTTCATCCAAGAGGAATCCGCAGATTTCAGCTTTTCTTGGGGTGTTCATGCAGTTACCCAACTTCTCAGGAATGCAAACAAACAAATTTGCATTTAGAAAACAGCTCTTCCGCTCCTCTGTCCTTCCAGAAACAGAAAGACACTGCTATGGCTTGAATGTTTGTGTCCTCCCAAAGTTCCTATGTTGAAATTCCAACTCCCAAAGATGATGGTAGTAGGAGGTGAGGCCTCTGGGAAGAGCTTAAGTCATGAGGCTGGAGGCCCCATGAATGGCATCAGTGCTTATAAAAGAGACACCCCCAGCCCCTTCCCCCATGTGTGGACACAGTGAGCAGTCTCAGATCTGAGGGGGGCCTCGCTTGATCCTGCTGGCCCTTGATCGCAGACTTCCAGCCTCCAGAACTGTGAGAAAGAAATTTCTGCTGTTTATAAGCCACCCAGTTGGTGGTTATTTTTTTACAGCAGCTCAAACAGACTAAGGTGGATGCTATTCAAAAGATCAGGTTCATGTCCGGATTGTTCTCTTTCCTGAGGGCGTGAAGTCAGTCACATACTCTCCTACTTCTTAGCCTAGAGAGTGCTCTAGTGACATCTAGGCCAACTCCTTTTCCAAATGTGGCCAGTTGGGTAAAGAGCATTAGAAACTGTGAAATTCTCAACGAATGGGAAAGCATTTTAATATGAATGTAACTTACTACTGGCTTCCCAAGTGGCACTCGTGGTAAAGAACCTGCCTGCCAATGCAGGATATGTAAGTGATGTGGGTTCCATTCCTGGGTTAGGAAGACCCCCTGGAGCAGAAAACGACAACCCACTCCAGTGTTCTTGCCTGGAGAATCCCATGGACAGAGGAGCCTGGTGGGCTACTGTCCACAGGGTCACAGAGCCGGACACGACTAAAGCGACTTATAAGGATTTCAACAAAATAATGTTGCATTAAGTTTTATTATATGGTGACTATTGCTGGCCACTTCTGGTATAAAGGATATTAGAAATAATTCTACACCGGCACTCATAGATGATTCTATTAAAATAACATTTTTAATGGCCAGAAAATTAAGAAACAACCCTATATGAATTATTAGAGGGACCATCATGGGACTGTACAAATTCTTTCCATCTTCTGCAACAAGAAAATGAAACACTGCCTAAATTTAGCAAAGACACTGTAAGAGGCAGGTAGTTTGCAGGCAGGAAAACCTTTTATTTTAAACCACAAATAATCAGCAGGTGGCCACAACTATCCATGTTTCATTAAAATCACATAAAACCTAGGTACAAAAGCACCACTGATTATTGCTCTAGAAAAACGGCATGAAAAAATCCAAATACGCACAGTAAAAGCACCACAGTATGCACAGGACTAAATTTTTAAAGCAAGTGACTTTTAAAAGTTGTCCCAAGAGGTACATAAAATCAACCCCAATTTTCATGACCATTCATTCTCCCTCGTTAGCTACAGATTCAGTTTTCTGTGCCTGTGGAAAAAGAAAGGAAGACAAAAAAGACAGTTACTATTAAAACTACCATAAGCCAAAGAAGACTCCACCCGAGCAACACGCACAGTTTGGAACATCTGTTTTTAGCGGCTCTACTACAAAACCGAGTCAACTCTGGGTGTAAAAACAGACAGGGCAGGGATATATGACACGAACACTTGGCTGCATTTGTTGCTTTCTGCTTTGCAAACGACCACAGAAGCTTTGCCTGCGGGGCTCCCGCAGTTCATGATTAAAGAAAAAGAACACCACCACACTACTATCTGATGCTAGTCACTGCAAACGTGCAGAATTGTCTACTGTACCCTTAACTCTCACTGTTTCAATCTGCCCCTTTACTGACAGTGTGCTGGGTGGGGTACCTCTGGAGGCTGAGACATTAACAGTTGAGCGAGAGATGTGGATCTGCAATCACATTACGGGCAATAAAGAGACACATTATGAATGTGCGGTCGCCGGCTGAAGGATCCAGCAATTGCTTTCAAGACACTGATTCAATCGGCGGGAGGTGTTGGGGAAAGTACCTCTTCAGCTTGAGTGTCACCATTTTCAGCCGGTGCTGCGGTACCTTCCTTCCCAGCTTCCTGCTTCTCCTCCTTCTTCCCTTTAACACCTTTGCTAACCTTTGTTGCTGGTTCTTTCTAACAGAGGGTCAAAGCACAGGGAGACAGAGTGTGTGAGACAGGGTGGGAGGTGGTGGAAACTCAGCCAGCCTCCATCCAAACACAGGGGTGACGGGGTGGCTCTCAGGGGAAAACGGGAACCCGGTTCCGCTGAGCTGTGAGTGGGTTACTCGGAGGCTCCCGTGGAAATGGAACAGGCAACTTAGGAAATCCACTGGACTCTGACTTCTCAAGTGTGTGTCTGGTGAGCGTCCTCTCTTGATACAGTGAGAAGCGGTCCTGCCGTGGGGAGAGCAGCTGCAGGGGGACAGTGAAGTCAGGGCAGACCCAGCGAGAGAAACCCTGCACGTGAGGACTTGGGGCTACAAGCTGGGAGAGCCCTGGAGAAGGCAGGCCCAGAGGAAGAAAAATTCCTGTTTTAAGACCAAGCCGGGACTGCCCTGGTGTCCAACAGTTAAGACGCTAATGCGCTCCCAAAGCAGGGGGCCCAGGTTCCATCCCTGGTTTGGGAACTAAGATTCCAGATCCCACAGGCAGTGAGGTGTGACCCCCCCCCCTTCAAAAAAGACCAAAGCCACAGAAATGAGTTCCGCTTCACAATCGCCTTTTCACACCTCAATACACATCATTTCAAATAATGCACACACAACAAGGGATGACGCTCTGAAGGGCAGAGTAAAGAAAAGCCTTTTGGGGGTAAACTTCCTACCCCCGATAATTCTGCACTGCACTTTCCTCATCTGCCAAACAGAATATGTGTCCCTACCTTAGTAGGACTGATGTGTCTTATGCATAGGATGAAAGTGAAAGGCGCTCAGTCGTGTCTGACTTTATGACCCGAGACCACACAATCCATGGAATTCTCCAGGCCAGAATACTGGAGTGGGTAGCCTTTCCCTTCTCCAGGGGATCCTCCCATCCCAGGGATCAAACCCAGGCCTCCTGCATTGCAGGCGGATTCTTACCCGCTGAGCTACCAGGGAAGCCCGTGCATAGGATGAGGGTCTGGCATAGGACAAGAGGCTTCCCAGGTGGCTCAGGGGGTAAAGAATCCGCCTGCAATGCAGGAGCTGGAGCAGAACGTGGCTTCGATCCCTGGGTCAGAAGGATCCCTGGGGGAAGGAAATGGCCACCCACTCCAGTACTCTTGCCTGGAGAACCCCATGGACAAAGGAGTCTGGTGGGCTACAATTCATAGGGTCACAAAGAGTTGGACACGACTGAAGCCACTGACACACACGCACATAGGACAAGGGCCATATAACTGTTTGCTGGCATTCATCTGCTGTGTGTTATTATGATTACTGTGTGTGTTAGTCGCTCAGTCGTGCCCGACTCTTTGCGACCCGGTGGGATGTTGCCTGCCAGGCTCCTCTGTCCATGTGATTCCCCAGGCAAGAATACTGGAGCGGGTAGCCTTTCCCTTCTCCAGGGGAGCTTCCTGACCCAGGGATCAAACCCAGGTCTCCTGCTTCCCTTGTGGCTCAGCTGGTAAAGAATCCGCCTGCAGTGCGGGAGACCTGGGTTCGATTCCTGGGTTGGGAAGATCCCCTGGAGAAGGGAAAGGCTACACACTCCAGTATCCTGGCCTGGAGAACTCCATGGACTGTACAGTCCACGGGGTCACATAGAGTCAGACACGACTGCGCACCTTTCACTTACACTTACTTACCTGCATTGCAGGCAGACTCTCTACCATCTGAGCTACCAAGGAAGCCTTAATTATTTGGTAGTATTGACTAATTAATACTCGGCAGACTGGCCTCCTAAGACCAGTTCTAGGAAGCCAGAAGCCCCTCACAAGTCCTCCACCAGCTGTTGGCAGCAGGCCCAGGCTCACTGCTCTGGAGAACCATCTGAACTGTGTGTTTCATGAGGCAGCGACCAAACTCCACCTTGGACATGAGGCTTCTCAGAGCACCATATGCTCTGACTTCCTTTGCTGAATGGACCAAATGGAAAACACACTCCCAGTAAAGTGTAAAAACTGTGCTCTCTGCTTTTTGAGAAAGCCTGTCTCCAGCTCGGGTGGGTTTTCTAGTCCAGGCACTGAGCCTGAATCATTAAATGTGATCTTTCCTCGGATGACTCTGGGACATGGAATTATAATTTATTCACTGTTGAAAAAGCCAAAGCGGGGGAGGGAGCACCTCTTACCTTAGCAGATGTTTTTCTTGGTTTAGGTTCAGGTTTGGGGGGAGCAGGTTTCTGCAAAGATAAATGAAGTTATACAAATACTGAAAAAGACAACCCTCAGCACCAAAGGAAACAGCAACAAGACTGCCAAAGACAACAGTCCATTTGGACTATGACGTTCATTTCAAAAGAGAAAAATGTCGTCCTCTTTTCAGCACCAGCAAAAAGACCTCCCCATTTCATGACTATTTTCATCCTGGGTTCTCAGGTCAACGACAGGTGAGATCTCAAAGTCAATTCACTATTCCCTGGGCCAGAACAACTCTCTGGGAACACATTTAAGCTTCTGTCTGATGTCTCTTTATTTCCCTTTATCACAGCAATACAGCAAGAGGAACGACTCAGGCCCTCAGCCAAATGACGCTGTGGATTTGGTTCACACTGGCCTTCCAAACAGTCTAGAAATCCTAGCACCATCACAGGCAAGGCCCATCTGGAAATGAAGAGAGCTGCCCATGAAGTATTCCAAAACCAGTTCCAAATTCTCCCACCTCTGATGTGGGTTTCAAATGCCTGTCTGAGCTTGAGCTTCTTCCTCCTTTTCTCTTCCAAGGCCAGTTCAAGGTGAACGGAATCTCCTGGCCACCCAGACCCTGGGCTCCCTAGAGTCTGTTATCAGGAACACAATTATAATGATGCAAGTTTACTGCGTGTGTGCGCGTTCAGTCACTTCAGCCGTGTCCGACTCTTTGCAACCCTGTGGACTGTAGCCCGCCAGGCTCCTCTGTCCGTGGAATTCTCCAGGCCAGGATACTGGAGTGGGTTGCTTTGCCCTCCTCCAGGGGATCTTTCCCGACCCAGGGATCGAACCTGTGTCTCTAATATCTCCTGCACTGGCAGGCGGGTTCTTTACCACTAGCGCCACCTGGGAAGCCCACAATGTATACAGTTAGCTCCCAAAGTTCAAGATCTTTAGGGCTAATAAGCCAAAGGGCCCACCAGGTGATTTTTTTTCTTGCCTTATGTGTTTCTCCCCACTCCTGGGAGCAGGAGTGGCCCCACGCCCCTCCACACAAGGCTTCAGCCCGGCTGCTTCCTAAGGGCCTGAGATGGGTACAAGGAGACACGGGGGCGGGAGGAATTTAAACCTGTGGTTTTTCTAAAGCTATCGTAGGGCAAATAGTTCTCTCATTGAGCTAGGAAAAAATTATATCTCTCTCCTGGCACCAGGGAGCATGGTTTTTAAGCAGAAAATACTGCCCAGAGTACCTCCTCCGCCACCCCACCCCCACCCCCCACCCCCGAAGGAGAAAAACATGTATTCCTCCCCAGCGATGCCACGTGTTCAGGTTCATACCGAATCCGGCCCTTTCCATCAAGGTCATAAACTGAAATTATCATCAGTTCAATTCTGGAAGACTGGTCGTTGGACATAGCCTCTCAAATAAGAAAAGGAAAGTGAGCTTGAAAAGCAGGGGCTATTTTCCTTAATCTTCTGACCACCATAAATTTGCTCCCCAAATATATCAGCTTGCATAGCTCCTAAATTTTCAGGATATAAAACATTTTACTTCAGGCTTCGATACATTGTACTGACATGTCCGTGTTTTCTCAATTTACAGCAAGATGGACCTTTTCCCCCTAAACTCAGTATTAGTGTTTTAATGGGACAGGAAATGGTGATGTTTTTGTAGTCTGTAATCCCACTGGCTTCCGAGGTTCTGCGTCAGCACTGAGGCCGTGATGTCAGTGGAAGGTATTATATTGCTGGACCCTGGTGCTCAGGAAAGGCCTTGTTTTATATTTCAGTTTTTGACTTAAACATCTACCCCCCTTGATGGGCTAGATATCCATGCAATACAATGGCTTTCAGCATAAACTACAGTGACATCAAAAAGAGTTAAGACATAATGTTTCAACCATGGTGAAAATTACACCACTGGACAAGCATAACCTTTTGTGTTGGTGTATTGTATTGGTATTGGAGCAGAATCTGGATTAACTACGTATGCATACAAACGCACCTCCCAGGTCTTAACCTTCCAGGTGACTCTGATGTTGCTTCTTAGGTTGGGACTCATGTGGCTCTACTGGTAAAGAACCTGCCTGCCAATGCAGGAGACACAGGAGACATGATCCCTGGGTCAGGAAGATCCCCTGGAGGAGAAAACGGCACCCCACTCCAGTATTCTTGCCTGGAGCACCCCATGGACAGAGGAGCCTGGCGGGCTGCAGTCCACGGGGTTGCAAAGAGTCAGACACGCCAGAAGTGACTTAGCATGCACACGTGTGGAACACTGGCTCAACCCAACCTAAACCTGGCTATACTTCCAAACTTGAGAATGGTTCCAGTACCTATTTCTTTCCTTTTAAATTTGTGAAACAAGTTCAGCAAAACTATATTGAGAAGAAAAGCCAGGAACTGATATGTATTTTTTTAATTTGTGAAAAGTTTGCAATATCCATTTCACAGCTTGGATTCCCTGCATTGTGCCAGGCACAGGTGTGGGTTGAGGAAGAAAGCCAGGCTTCCCTGAAGGTCCCAGTACCATCTAGTACGGGCTGTTAGCCAAGAGGTCAGTGCCTTCCCCACTACATCTCATTGGGCAGCGCAAGTCCCCCTCCAGAGAGCTGGGCTGACCGGTCTCGGGAGGAGGAGGCCGGGCACATGAGCAGGGTGGGCGGGAGGAGCACAGCGGGGTGAGGAGGGCTGGGGCACAGTCTTGTCAAGGCTTGATCACTGCCCATCCCAGCTTCAATGATCTTAACCCACGACTCTTGGCCCGGAGAGGGAGACCCCAGGTGGCAGAGTGGAAATGGTTCCTTTTTTAAAGATTGTCTAGTTCTGAAGTGAGGCTACAGCCTATGGATTCAGACGCCTTTCAGAACATTCTGACTACGGTATGGACTTTCTCTTTTCTCGTGGAGAGAGAATCAAGACTTCTTGTCTCCTTTGGTACATCAGGTGTAGGATAGGAGATGAGGGCTTTGCTAATAACGTCACTCTTCATTGCACGGCTCCAGCCATGGCAAACAACTCCCTGGGCTTCATATGCTTGCTCACTGGGCTGGCCACTGTTCTTCACCAGTGTATCTGATCAAGTGAATTGCTTGGCAACACTTGTCCAACCTGCTCGAAATTCTGACCCAGGCAATTTCCAAAAAGGAAATTAAACAAAGCTCAAGAGAAACACCACCTTAGTCTTCATTCTGCTGCCGTGGACAGGAGTGTGTGTTCGTAAGAGCTAACAACAGTGGGGCCCAAAGTACTCACCGCTGACAACCTGGCAGACCGTCTGGTGGGCTACAAAAGGAAAAGAAACACAAAACATAATTTTTCGTGATTATGCACAATCAAGCTAATTTTTAAAAAATTCATTCTTACTGTCTTACTTTGTTGAAAGAATAGAACGCATGATTCCCATTAACCCCCCACCTCCACCCATGGTGAGCACAGTGAAACATAACCCCAAGTACCCTGAGCACTGGAACATTCCAGAAAAAGTGTTTGTAAAGAGGTGCAGGTGCACTGTTCAAAGAAATGGCCTCTCACAGTGAAGGGTGCCGTGGGCAAGGCAAGGAAGATGCATTTAGGCTCCGACCCAAACCATCATCTACTTCTATTATAAAATGGGCAGCAGGAGCACTGAGGCGCTATTTCAGAACCAGTCCAGTCTGACGTGCATTTCTTACAAACGGAACCGAAGCTTATAAATTTATACAAAAAGAGACTTATATAATTGTGCAGAAACTGAAATAGCAGGAGTCTTCTCCCTGGTTACTATGTTAGAAAAGAGAATGACTACAAATCTTAGGCAGTTAACAACCACAGCTTCCTTTCACCTGTAATAAACACAATGATTGATCTATGAAATACACATGGCTGAAAGATTTAAAGAGTAAAAAGCTCTTTTCATTTGCAAGTTTACAAATTTACAGAACCAGTTGAGATTAGAAATTCTCAAGGAAATCTTCTTCCTCAAGGATGGTACAAGTTCACAGCAAAGGAGATGGTAAAGAAAATTTCTAAGAGCGGAAATGCTCTACGTATTTCAGAAAAACACATACAACTGGTACTCTACTCCTCACCAGCCAAAGTCGGACCTCAAGGGGATTTCACTTTTTCAACTTCCTTTGTTTAAAAGTGTTCCAGGAGCAGATACTCCACCCATTCTCTTTTGTTCACAGCTCTATTTCTATTAGAACAGTGCCACCTAATATATAATGGATATGCAAGAATACTCATGAAAGAAAATAAAAAAAGAACTCAAGCTTGTCTCTAATTTGCTGCCTTATGTGGATGCTGCCTCATGACAACAGCTTAAAGGTCTCAAATAATCTTTTTGAGGGTCAGCCAAATGGTCAGCAGGAACCTGGGTCACAATTCCAAGGAATCATGGAATTCTCAAGTCAGTCTGGATGAGCTGGTCAAGGCCAAAGGGCCTTGGGGCATTTCTTGCCATCTCCACATCGAAGAATTTTCTTGCTGAAAATAGCCAGAGGAAGCTAAAGCCGTCTTTCTTTAAACTACAGAAGGAAATGAAGGGCCAGAGCCTCCAGGAATAACTTTAACCCTTCGTTAAAGTTCATGCGCACAGCTCAGAGCTGGACTTCAGGCGGGCGGGCAAAAGTGTTGAGTCAGGAGACTGTGCAGACACGTCACTGCACAGGGTCGGGGGATGCACAGTTCTACACACAATGTGGGTCTTCCCTCCCGCCCCTTGTCTGTACCCCTTCTGCATGGAACCATCTTCTCTTGCACAGAAACATCTTATCTTGCACTTCTGTAGCTCTGATGCCTGGCGGGGGACCTCAGCAAACATGGAGGTGACTGGACTGGGTGAGCACCAGACACGCACAGCAAGAGTGAACTCGCAGGGAGCGGTGCCAAGGCCACTAGTTACTTAGGATCCGGTCTAGAGCCTGCAAAGGAGCCAACAGCTTAACCATCATTTACAACTGGCTCCCTATCAACCAACGAGCTGTCCCAAGTAACAGCTCATTGAAGGGAAGCCAGATCTTGTGAAAAATTCCCCAACTCGACGGTTCTCTGCTCCCTCCCTCTCCAGGCAAGAGGGGAAGACTGAAGAGGCAGAGTGATGTCACACCCCCACCCCCACCCCCATCCCGGGATTTCCAGAGACATTCCAACAGAGCACTGGCCTGCCAGCTGCTCCGATCCAAATGACTCACTACCTTTTCATAATTCAGGTCCAGTGTAAGAGTTTCAAAATAAAAAGCCTACAAAATGCATGCAAAACAAAGTCTGCCTTTACCAGGCAATCTAAATGGTGCCATCTCTAAAACGCATATATTCTACAGTAAAATGATTTTATGACGTCCTACCTAAAACTTACCAGCTCTTCTATGTTAGGGAGAAAAACAACAACTTCTCTTAAGTATTCTTCTCTTAAACCATTCTAAGACATGCTCTTTCTCACTGCAGAGAGGGGAGGCCGAAACAAACTTTCGCTCACAGTCAGTAGTACTGACTCTGCACCAGGTGTGTATATCTTCCTGGAGAGTTTCATCACATTTCACAAATGACTGGATTCTATTTACTGGATACAAAATAGACCAGGCTGCTCTTCTTCCCTCTTTCAAACACTGGAATTTGAAGTATTCATTTGAGACTCAGACTGTGGGGCAAAACTACTATTAAGAAAAAAAAAAGAATTTTTCTCAATAAACAAGGGTTTACTGTATAGCACAGGGAACTATATTCAATATCTTGTAATAACTTATAGTGGAAAAGAACTTTAAAAAAGAATATAGATGTATATATATATATGTGTGTGTGTATCACCAAGTCATTTTATGTGCCTAAAACACAATATTGTAAATCAACGATACGTCAATTAAAAAAAAAAAAAGAATGTCTCTCCATTTGTTGATTGTGAATTCGCAGGAAAAGTGGCCAAAAGAGCAGTTCTCGGGGGAAAAATAGGAAGGCTTTGAGAATGATGGGTCGCTAAGAGTTATAGAAACAGTGTGAGTGTTTGTTACTGTGGTACACAGGTGCTGGACTAAATGGAATTATTCACTGAGTATTTACTGATTACCTGATAAACTTCTTAGGCTGGACAAAATTACAGTGAGGGCTACTATGAAGGATATGGAGTCTTTAATGTCCTGGTTGCAAAAGCAACACGGAAGTCTGATCTCAATATGACAGAATTCCCTGGGAGAGCTAGAGACAAGTAGAATCACCGGATCCCTGGACTTAGCTGAATATTGCTTAAAACATATGGGCCATTCCAGTGGAATTCAGAAGTATATTTACTTTTATGCGATTTCTTAATGCTTCTGTTCTTCACCATGCAGTTCCAAGCAAAGCCTACAAGTCAAGTTGCTTTTAACTTTCAAAAACAAATGGAAGAGCTAGGTAGAATTTCCCTTCTTTGCAGAACTGCGAAGTGGAGCAGGATGCGTATCAGGGTCTTGACTGGAGGATGGAGAAGATAGAGAAAAGGCACTGGGTGACCAGATTCTTTTGTTTTGTTTTTTTGGCCGAGACGTGTGGCATGCGGGATCTTATAGCTTCCTGACCAGGGACTGAACCCGGGCCCCCTGCACTGGGAGTGCAGAGTCTTAACCCCTGTAACACCACGAAGTCCCATGACCAGATTTATGATGACCCCAAGGGGCATAAGGACAGGGATTTTGAGTCAAAAGACTCAGACATCTTTCCTGGTGCTGCAACTGACAAGGTGTGACATGTGACATGTGACTATGTTATTTCTCTGAGAACCTTTTTCACTCTTGTTCAATGGGGATAATAATTGGTGCCTCTGTTGACCAAAACAGTTCTTCTCTGACATAAATTACTCCCTCTGATTGCTTTCTTTTTCTTCATAGCAGATTTCTGATCATTTTATTTACTCTTATCTTTTGCCCTCCTACAGTGGAAGCTCCATGAAGGCAGAGACTTGCTCCTTTGTTCACTACGCAATCTGCACAGCCTGCTGCATTCAAGTGCCCCACACGTCTTTTGGTTGCTTTGGTTGAAATGCTGTTACTGTTGTTCAGTCATTAAGTCAGTCGTGTCTGACTCTCCGCATCCCCCTGGACTCCAGCATATCAAGCTTCCCTATTCTTCACCATCTCCCAGAGTCTGCTCAAACTCATGTCCACTGAGTCAGTGATGCCATTCAGCCATCTCATCCTCTGCCGCCCCCTTCCCCACCTGCCCTCAACCTCCCCCAGCATCAGGGTCTTTTCCAATGAGTCAGCTCTGGGCATGGCCAAATGTTTCTACGGAAATCCTGAAGGGCTCTCTCCCCTCGTTCCAGGGTTAAATTAAGGGTCAGCTCAAATAATGGAGGTGAAAGGGCTTAGGAATCTGCCCAGTGTAAAATGACTGTAGCCTATCACTTTGGTCATTTATTGTCCAGATACTATACTCTGCACTGTGCCCTTCAAATACCTCAGAGGAGATTTTCAAAAGGGGATCCTCCTTTGTAACTAATATTTATTGACTGTAGACTAGGCTGGGCACACTCAGTGACATAACTAGAAGATCCCATCAATTCAGCAGAGAAAATCAATATATGATCAAACAGTTCTTATCCCAAAGCACTTCTAATTAACCAACCTTTTCACTTCTTAAACAACTGTGTTGGTGTCCTGAAGACAAATCATAAGTTTTACTCTGGTCTTGATTTAAATGATAGGAAGAGTCTTTTTTAGGAAAGATTTCTGATAGCAGTAAGATAATACATGCAATCAGATAAAATATTAAAAATAATAATGTAAAAAAAAGTAATAAAAATTCTGAGGCTAAAAGAATATGCATAAGACAGTTGTATGAGCAAAAATGTTTTTCATATATCCTAATCAGCTTGCTGACTTTTAGTGTTGAAAGGGCGGAAAAGTTGTTTTCACTATCCATGATCTGCTGTACATAATGGTTTCTAGGTTTTCTGACAGATCAATTTAAATAGCAGTCCCCAAGGAGAAACCCAAATGCATTTGTGCCCAAACCTAAAAACATTAAGGCGTATTACACTTAGTCAACTGTCCTACAGATTATGTTTCACCATTTTCCAGAAAATTCAAGCACTGGGACTTTGGTATGATAACATTTTTTTGTTTGCTTCTACCATTTGTTTAGTGACTTGACCTTGGATTGCCAGTTTTACCTCCCAAACTCTGCTAGACACTGAAAACTGGGTAAATGCATGGCGGGGACTTGGCTATAAGCAGTTCTGTTTGTTCTGCTTTTGAATTATTTCTTTACAGATTCTGTTGAAGATTTTCCATTCGGCAGAACGAACTTCCTTTTACAAATCACGTGTAGGGGTTTTGCTCTCTTGACAACCTCTGAATTATTAACACAATATGAGTCACCCAATCAAAGAATATGTAACTAGATATTGTTTTCGTCTCTTTCATGACCCCTTTTAGTTTATAAGTTCAAGGGTTAAGAGCTGCACTGTTTCCACACATTCTAAAGTTCTGTGCAAAAGGGAATGGCTGTCATCACAGTTACCATCTCATTTGCTGCTTTGCTAGCTCCTCTCCTTTTAGAAGTTCATGATATTGCCATGGAAGGTCAACTGCAAGTATCTCTTCCAAGTTCCCAGCTTTTTGGAGTTCTCTGTATTTTCATACAGAGCTTCTTTGACTTATTATCTAATTATCCCAAACCCTAAGAATTTTCCTGGTTAAAAATAAAAACTTTAAAATTCTGACATTTTACACATCTTTTGTAGTTTTTGACTTTAGAAGAGGATTGCTTTTAGGCAAATATTCAGAACCCAAACGGTAATTTATAGTTCACTCACTGGAGTGGAGAATTTATTAAATCAACAGTCTTTCATTTCCTTACTGTGAAAGGCGGACTTTGTTCTCCTTGATGAATTTACCTATTATCTCACTCTTTGCCCAGAAGGAATTCTCAGTATCTGCTTTAACAGACAGCAGCACTGACAAGTAGAAACATAACAGCACAGTAAGTGGAAAACACCTCCTCAGTGCCCCTGAAATCTACCGAGGCCAAGGGCGGTGACAGAGCCACACTTTTCTCTCTGGTTTACGAAGTCTCAACAATCCAGTTTAGAAGAGGAATCATTCAGATGCAGACAATCATAACAATACTAGAAATTCCAGTTAACAATTAAATGCAGGGTGTTAAAGATACACTTACCTCCTGTTTAGTTACTTTGGATCCATCCTTGCCCTCTGTATTTTCTGGAGACTAAAAAGAAAATATTTGGGTGAATTGTATTTAAGTTGGAAAATGCATATTAAAAGACCACATAAACCAGTGATAATCTCCAGAGAAAAGTAAGTTTGTAAGAGGATACGTTTTACACACACACACACACACACACACACACACACACACACAGACACACACTGCATTTATCTGCATAACTGCTCTAATATAAAACCAGAATTGTTGCAAGAACTGATCTGAGCCCCTGTTCTCAATGTACACTCACTTGAAGTGATTTTCATTGACTTCTCCTGCCACCGGGGGAAAGAACAGGGAGCCAATAGTCACTTTGTTCCCCTAAGATGAGAGCAGGAAACTCCCAGGCCAAGCGCAAAACTGTATTTTCACCCCATACTCGTCTAGCTTTGATTTCAAGCCCATTTCCTGATAAGACTACACATTTATCATGCATTCTCGTTTTTCCATCAGTTAACTCCAGGGTCTCTCCCACACTCCCAGCCTCAGCGGAACGGCCCAGCACCCAGCCACCCTAGCTGATTTCTTCCCAGACTTTGATCCATCTCCCCAGGCAGCATCTACCCACTCTTGCGATAGCTCAAACCTGACTCCTTTCCAGACTCCATAAATACACTTGGATTTATAAGACAAATCAATTATGTCAATATATTTTTATTGGCTGGACAATAAATGAGATGAAAACAATTCAAATAATCAGAAAATTAAAACTATTTGACACAAGACAGGAATAGAGTGGGCTTCCCAAGTGGCGCTAGTGGTAAAGAACCTGCCTCCCAGTGCAGGAGACTTAATAAGAGACGCGGGTTCGATCCCTGGATGGGGAAGATCCCCTGGAGAAGGGAATGGCTACCCACGCCAGTATTCTTGCCTGGAGAATCCCATGGACAGAGGAGCCTAGCGGGCTATGGTCCATAGGGTCGCAAAGAATCGCAAAGAATCAGACACAACTGAAGTGACTTAGCAGGCAAGCACGCAGGAATAGAAGAGTGGCTCAGATGGTAAGGAATCTGCCTGTAATGCAGGAGACCCAGGTTTGATCCTTGGGTTGGGAAGATCTCCTGGAGAATGGAAGAGACACCCACTTCAGTACTCCTGTCTGGAGAATTCTATGGACAGAGGAGCCTGCTGGGGCTACACTCCATAGGGTCGCAAAGAATCGGACACTAACTGAGCAAACAGAATTCCTAGGACAAAAAAACACAAATAGCAAACTGACATTTGACACAATGCATGACTTAAGAAAATAAAACAGCTATGTGGTAATGCCTAGTCTGAGAAAATGAGAAAAACATTGAAAAGCTCCTCAAATCCACTGTTTGCTGGGGTTGGTGACACTGTAAATTAATACAATGTTTTCAAAGAACAGTCTGGCAATATAAAAAAGACACAGAGGACTAATCATGTAATGACAGAGTAATTCTGATTTTGGAATCAAGACTCAGAGAAAGAAACTTTGTAAAAATACCATTTTGTTTGTATTCTTTCTAATATGAAATAACTGGAAACAACTCACAGGATCAATAAATAACAGACAAAAGTTTAGATAAACAATATAAGTATTAATGTTATGGGATTAAAAATAGTTAAGCTATGTGAACACATGGAAAGTCCACATAAAGTAAGATTAAATTTAAACACTTAGATTATAGGAAAATCCCTGGCAGACCAATGGTTAGGACTCCACACTTCCACTGCTGAGGGCCTGGGCTCAATCTTGGGAACTAAGATCATGTAAGCTTCACAGTGCCACCAAGAGAATATTAATAAATAAACAAAGGCTTAGGTTATAAAGTAACATGTAAAAGGTCAGAAATAGCTAAAGTCTTGGAGAAAGACAGAAGCTTTAAACCTCTTCTTCTCTGCTGCTCCCTGGTACCCAGTCTATGGTTCTCTCTCCTCAAAACCTCCCAGATTCTCTGTCTTCAGAACCTCCCAGATCCATGGAGTTCTCTCCTGTTTCCACATCAACCAACCATTTTCCCCTCATCCATGGAATCCTCTCTATCATCAAGGAACACAGAGCTTCTCTTTTCTCTCCCCGCTCTCTGGCACAGGAATGTCTGGCTCACAGATCTTGTGCTGTATCAGCCGGCTGAGTTAGAGACAGAAAAATCTCAGAAAATCTAATAGGTGAGCCATTTGGCTTTGCCCATTTCCCCAGTCACCAAGGTGACCCTTCTGGCCACAAACCAGGCGCTCTGCTGTCTGAAGTGCTGGGCTCAGCAGACCCGATCTGGGCTACCCTCTACCTGTAACTGACAGGCTTTTAAAGAAGCAGCACACAGCTTCTTATTTGTTTTTTGGCCATGTGGGATGTTCAAGTTTCCTGACCGGGGATTGAATCCACCCTCCCTGCATTGTAAGCGCAGAGTCTTAACCACTGGACTTCCAGGGAAGTCTCCACACAGCTTCTACTGACATTAAATGACATTAAATTTTTTTTTCTTAAACTGATATTATCCACAAATTTTTTTCCCCTTAAACTGATATTAATGACATTATGTTCAATATGCTTCCAGGCAGTGGATTTGTGACAGCAATATGACTGATCACTCTCTAAACTGAACTAATATTGTTTGTACTGGATGCAAATTACTGCAAAAGAGAAACCTGGAAACCAACCCCCCCCACCCCCCAAAAGAGGCAGGTATAACTGAATATGTTAACGCTTCCAGATGAATGAATGAGCCTAAGACTGGAGATGGGAAGGGAGACAACTGTAGCAAAGCTGGTTTCTCTGGCAACCACTCCACGAGATCTCTGTATAAACAAGCACACAGCAAACTGGTAGGCAGGAACGACCCAAATGATCGTCACCCTGGGATCAGTGGGGTTCTGCGGCACGCACGCAGGTCCAGACACCACTGCACTCTTGGCTCTCTAGCTCAGAGCCCTGTGATCTGGGACAGTGACCTGATCATGTGACTCCGTCTCTATCTCTGATCGAGGATGATGACACAACTCAAAGGGTCCTTGTTTACGATCAAGCGAGATATTGGGGAAAGCATTTCATACACTGAATGGCTATACAGATGTTATACAACAAAACATGTAAGATCTTAATGAGTCTTTTTTCATAGTAATGATATTTATTTGAGTATAGAGGTAAAATAAAGAACCACCTTTTAATCCTGAAATTCTAGACTTCCATATTTGTGACTAACCCATATCTACTAAGCCGTATTCATCTTAATGAGTCTGTAAATTATCAAATATGATATATTAAATTCAATACAGTCTTGAGGTTGAGCACAATTCCTTACATCCAGATTCCCTGCAACCTTGTCATCTGTTTCTGTTACATGGATTAACAGGTATATGATTTCAGAAAGACCTGTCACCTTTCAGGCTGTCTGTATCACACACTGCTAACACTTAGCCACGAGGCTGGAGAGAGCAGGAGGTCATGGTATAAGGGAATCAAAAGAGAAGCCCGAAGCTTTCGTCCGAGATTTTGAGGAATAAAAATGAGGAAAAGGGAGAAATAAGGCTTGGGGGTGTACATAGATGATCTCAGATATACTTCAACCGCCTTGTGAGCAGAAGGGAAGGATGAAGTGAGTGAGACAGGATGCTGGGGGTTCCAAGGCAGAGGGGTTCCTGCCCGGCTCCCCGAGACAGGGCAGACTCACGCTGATCTAGTTTGAACGCAGAATGGTCAAGAAGGCAGAGAACCACGGTCTAACAAAAAAGATATTCACGTATCTGAGGCTCCTTCAGCATCCAAGTGGATGGGGGCTGAACTAAGAACCAGCAAGGGGTAGGGGACATGTGGTGGCCTGATGGAAGGCACAGCAGAGATTCTGGGGGAGTCAGAAATACCACTGGGTGGCAGATCACGCAAGTCAGCAGGCAGCTGGATCACCAAACACCTGGTAACCCAATGGGAAAAGAGAATCAGCCAAGAGCACGAACTGTGTATGGCAAAAATCAACAGGTAGTTGAACTTTTTAAATCTGCAAGTTCTGAAAATGCAAGTAGGCTCCTTGAAATTAAAAAGAACTCAAAACATAAACTCTAGACCAGATACAGCAGAAGAAATAATGAACTGTCATGGAGTGCTGAGGAACTAGCCCAGAATGTAACAAACAGCAATAAGGAGATAAACAGTATGAAAGAGAGGTTAGGAGACATGGTGGTTAACTGCAAGGATCCACATATGTTTAATAGACATTCAGAAGCAGAGAACAGAGACACTGGTGGGAAGGCAAAGGCATAATGGGTGAGAATTTTCCCAAACTGAAGTCATGAGTCTCCAGATGGAAAACTCACACCAAGGAACAAACTGGAAACAAAACAAAGCAACCATATACAACGAGACATAATAAAACTACAGAAGGTCAAAGAAAATGAAGAAAGTCATTAAAAGTTTCCAGAATTAACAGATGGATTATTTTCAAAGAATTAACTTCTCACCAGAATCTGTAAACTATAGGAAACTCCAAAGAAATGTTCAAGGAGTTGAGGAAAACTGTCAGCCTAAAATTTTACACCCAGCTATCATTCAAGAGTAAAGGCAAAATGAAGATATGTCAGAATACAAATACTAAGAGTTTACTGCCAACAGAGTCTTTCTTTCAACAAGGATCTAAAACTAAAGGATCAAATTCAGCAAGAAGAAAAGAGAATTGAGATGAAAGAAAAATGTATATGAAAAAAGTATAAAATATATTGGCAATCTATTAATTGTAGATACTAATATCTATTTTTTGTGTTTAAAATATTGCAATAGAAATCATAGACTAGTGTTGCCCTAAAGATTTATAAAATGTAAGTTTAGATTTTTTGATAGCTAATGAAGAAAGTAAAAAGACAAAGGTGAAACTAATTTTGATAATATATTTCATTTAGCTGAAGATACCTGAAACTTTACCATTTCAACACGCTATCAAGATTCAAATTATTAATCAGATATGTGGCAAACGTTCTTAACACTAAATCTTCAAAACTTGGCATGTATTTTACATTTACAGCACATTTCCACTCAAATGCTAAGTTTT